GCATCGTAGTCGGCATCGTCTTGCCATTCTTAGCACCATACTGCAACTCGTCAAAGAGACAGGTGAAGCCGATCCTTTGATCAAATGTGTGCTAAACAGTTGTGGTGTCTCTCCTTCTCTCATGGGCTATTCACATCTCCTATATCCTCATATCATGTCTTCACTATCACAATTCCTTTTTTCCTTGCTTATTTAAATGTAGTGTAGTGTACCCTTTTGAGCGGTTCGCTATGCCCTAGTCTCTTGTGTGCCAACCCACAAATGTTGTGGTTCAACATTGAAACTAATCAATTGAAGCAGTACCACAACATTTGTGGGTTGACACACAATAGACTAGGGCATAGAAAGTCATAGAGTTGGTGTTACAGATAGAAACAGGATAGACGCAGCGGAAACTAGAGGTAGCTGGCTGATAGTAGGCCTGATTTACAATAGACGTGGTCCATGAAGCAAAGGCCTCAAGTTAGTCTAGCAGACGCAGAGCGTGGGAAATAACGCCTCGTGGAGCACAGATGGAATGGTAGAGGTCGAGTAAAGTACATAAACCAGGGAAAAAGCAGACGGATCCTACGGGGCAAAGGGGAGACTCTGATAAAACCTAGGGAAAGAGGACTGCGTAACTATATGATCTGATCAACATTCCCAGCACAAGAGTGAAGGGGGAGAGAATGGCAAGACGCACTGACAATGTCGACTAAGATGCCAGAGAAACGTCTTGGAATGTACCACGTCCACGGTCCGACTTTAGAAATTATCATGCATACAATGTACTCCTCTAAGTCTTCTTACCAATATGACCAAGTTGCGAAAACAACGTCAAACAACTTCTAAATATATCCAAGTTGTGTAGATAGGATGAAATTAAGAGAATAAGCTATCCCTAAAGGCTTGGCAGATCGAAATGGCTAACTTTGACAAAAAGTGAATGGGTTCTGTATTCATGTAAGAGTGCAAAAAATATTAGTACAATGCTCAAGAGAAGTTATTCAGTTAGCTTATATTGCTGTTATCACAATTACAGGTAATGATAACAATGGTAAAATGGTAAAAGTAGAAAGTGAGTATATGGGGAATTAGATCTAAGACGAAGACATAATTAAATAATTATTAAGGAATCAAAAGATAATACCATTTGATAGATGTATATCGCACCTAAGATAAATGTCTTAAAGCGTCTAAGAAAAATTTAAGATGCCATATACTGGGGTCCACCCAATATACTTGAGTGTAAAACAAAAAAATGCAGCTTTCGATACATTCATGAAGTTCAAGGAACATTTTGAATTAGTGATTTTTCTCATCTCACTTCTATACTCTCTTATTGCCCAATTTCTTTCTACTTTCCTTATCTAAATTTGAAATAGCTAAGAAAACACTTATTGTCTAAATATTATAAAGCTATAAGAGAGAGCTAATAGCAATTTAGAGCTAACGCAAGATTGACATATTTCGAGACATTGTAAAAATAATCCAGATACCTAAGTAACTTGAGATTATGATTCATGATTGATTCCTAAGTTATTATAGCTACAAAATTTCCAATGCTTTTCGACGTATTATTGCCACCATCCAACAACGTTATACTGTAAAATAGAAAAATATCTAGACTCATTGCAAACGGCTTCCAAAAAAATGCGATTGAATATAGAGTGCCGAAAAAATGACCGATTGCCAGAATTAAGTATTCAAAACTATTCATAAAATTGGTTATAACTAATTCTTGTATTTTTCTTAGAATAAAACAGAAATAGAGACCATGTAAACAAAAAGGAGATTTAGCAATGATAAACTATCATTGCTAGGCTTTGCTCCATGTCATCAGCAAATTAAACGATTTCATTATTCAGGATTTTTATCATTGAGATAATCAAAAACAAACAAACTAAACATCTCTACAAGCATTAACCCTAGTAGTGTGATAAACAACTAATTGAATTACAGTCGCCAATTAATAAAGCATATCGTTAATGCATAAAAGAGGCTGTGCCGGGCTCATAGTGGAAACTTTTCGATACAACTCCATAACTTCCGCTAATAATCTCTTCAATAAAAGTATTTTATGATACAGTGAAGTTAACAATGCTTCCTCAATAAAGTGTACATAAATAAAACTAAATTTGGGAGAATTTAAAGCAAGCCTTTTGATTAACTAATGAGAGATTCTTCCCAGATGCCTATTTATAGCAAGTTTTAAAATGTGAATTTAATGCAAAGGGCTCTACAATGACATTAAGGATTCCAATATCCAAAATAAAGGGATACTTGTTGACTACGTAAGCTTGTTCCCGGCAAAATTGCTTCAATAAGTCGTGATTAAGAAAATTAACAATTAGCGAAGCGCTACAAATTACTTTTAAATCTTGATGCCGAAAAGGCGAGAGTGGTCGCAAAGAGTTTGCTTACCAGAAAGTAAGGAGCCCGATGAACCGACTGATTTTCGTGTGTCGGAAGGCGTAGATTTGATACCACTCTGTTCCGGCGTTGAGGAAGCAATTATGGCGGCTGCTGCAGCAGCGAGGGCCCCTGGATCTCCGTTAACGGCAGCTTGTGAAACTGCCAGCCATCTGTCATACTCCTCGGAGTGCGTATTCTCATAGTGACGACGCAGGGAGCGGGCATCACTGTAGGACTTGTCGCAGAAATGGCAGGCATGCGGCTTTTTTGCCTCATGAGTAAGTTTATGCCCATTGCTGGCACAAGAGGCATAGGGAGGCAGAAAAAGGTGATAAGAAAATATAATTTTAGTAGAGATAACTTAAAACAAATAAGATTGGTGGAATTCAGCAAATTTAATTACATCTTTCAGAGTGTGGCAAATATGCCGTTTTTGGCCCCTCCATGTTGCAGATGTTGGACAATCAAGTTTTATTCTATATAGAGAGGAGTATATCTTTTGTCTCTATACTAAGACGCTGCATTTGGAAGTATCCGAAAGGTCTGGCGCATCCAGGTTGACAGTCCTATAAGTCTTGACTAAGTACGATAAGGACATTTACGCATAACAGAAAAAATAAGGCCAGAAAATGCCTAAATTAGTTTAGAAAGTTGGCAGACGTTAGATTAACCCTCCATAAAAGTATGAACCCAAGCCATTAGTCTACCTTGAATGGAGATACGAAAAGAAACTGGGTTTCGATAAATCTATTGAAATAGCATTGTTAGGGTGGTATGAAAGTGCATGAAGAAGAGATTCGTTGGTCGACCTCACCAGATGAGGACGGATAACTATCGTTATATTTCAGCTGTTTGGCTTTGATACGATATTCATGTTGACGCAGTCCACAATATATCCTCCCTCGTTTCGGGTGAAAACGTGCTGAGCTTTCGTCCATCATCAGAGCTGGATGTCATTCTCGTAAGAGTCTCACGTTAACACTAGGCCAAGAACACTATCTCCTAGACCCAATTAAGCCAAAAGAAAATTAAAAATCTGGATAGCTAGATATAGAGTGGTTTGGCTAATTATCTTTCATATTGGTCCTTTTATTTTTGTTCGAGTGTGTGTGTGTATGCGCGTGTGTGTTAGAATATATACGTAATACCGGTCCTAAATCAGAGTTGTCATAAGTTTAATCTCAAGTTCTGATCATCAAGGACTAATGATCCAACAAAACATCTTGACCGAGACTGCGTAATTCCATAAGCAAGTATGGTCGAGATAATGAGATATGAGATTGTAAGTATGAAAGTCAAGTTACGAAACCACTTGTTCTAACCTTTCAGTCTAGGGTCATTAACGTTTAAACCCCTAGGGAAAAGCAAGACTGGGGCTGCGTAATCTGACATGTCTGGTTTCGTTGATGAGCTTACTCTAATATGTTGAACGAATGTGAGTGAAGCTAGAACCATCACCGAGCAGACAAATTAAGTCGCTTTCTTTTGGACGGCAGCTAAATACCCTCTCTCTCCTTCAATCTATCAATCAAGCATAAGTAGTTCCTACTCAACTTTCTACCACCGTTCCCAACATTCAACGTATTTTCTGAGCTATTAA